AAAAGAACTTCATTATTGTTTATTTAATTCTTACAAATAAGTTCTTGTTAAAAACTAACCAAAATGAAAAATAATTTGCTTATAATTTTCACACAGGAGAGACTTGGTAATGTTTCCAAACAAAAGAAAATATATCGGTATCTGCATCGGCCAAAATGAGTTGAAAAATATCGGCATATCGGCAAAAATCCAATATCGTGCATCCCTAATGGTGGACACAACCCTCTACATTGCGAGTAAATCACTCGCATATGCAAATTTGGATGCGCTCAATGGATCATGTCATGTACTCAATGGATGCGCAGTATGTAGCACGCAGCGCACCTGTATTTGACGTACCGTCAACTAGTGTGAAGGCGCACGACTCGCCGTCGCTTTACTGATAGCGCTGTGTTTCTCACACATGCAAAGAGAGAGAGCGAGAGTCTTGCATACCATGCTGAATCGACGCGCTACATGTAAACCATATTCTTTGTTGTATTTTCCTGTCAAAATAACAGAGTTCATTTAGAATTATTCAGCTTTTAAGAACAAGCAGAAGATATGATGGTTTCTCGGCAGTGGGCGGAGCTAATGCGCGAACAGCTCTCGTTGGCTGGCACTCATCTATTACCATCTCTGTTTTGATTTCAGCAAATCAGTTCGAGCGAACGCTGACAACGTGATTAATATTCATGAACCCAGCAGATAATAATAGTAGTTGTAGTAGTAGTAGTAGTATCTTTTAATAATAATTACTATTACCTATTACCAACAATATCTTAAACACCACCATGACAAATATGCATTCATTCATGGTTACCATGTTTTAGTTCTAATCACTAGTTCTATCATTAAATAGTGCTTAATTATCTTAATGTCATAATATAATGCTTGATTGGCTGAAGTTAAGAGTGCACATTCAGTTATTTAAGAAGCTGTTCCATTTTACACAGATAAGCTGATTGGGTGGAATCATATTTGTGTGTGTGTGTGTGTGTGTATGTGTGTGTGTGTGTTTGTGTGTACCTACTTAACCATATTTTGGGGACAAATTTGTACCCAAAAGTGAGCAAAACCTGACAAAATCGGCAAAAACCTCAATTTGTGGATGTCCTCATTTGTAAAACTGTTAGAAAAATAAAGTAAACAAAGTTTTGTTTTACTTTTGAAATTGTAAAAATGCAGAAAGCTTTCTGTTAGGGGTAGGGGTGGGTTTAGGTTAAAAAGTGTATAACTATCTGTATATAAAAACAATCGAAGTCTATGTAATGTCCCCATTTAGATAGCTAAGTAAACGTGTGTGTGTGTGTGTGTGTGTGTGTAAAATAGTATATCAGTCTGGCGAGTAAACAAAAAAATTTACTAGCCAATGGCGATTATATTGCCAAGGTGTGCGTAGAGGGTTGTGGACAGTAGTGTGAGTAAAATAATAGATGCCCCAGCCACATTTAGGTCCAAAGTCTGGACCCACCTTGGCTTTTATACCATTGGGACAAACAAAATCGACAAAGAGTACACAATATGTAAGAACTGCATTATTTGCATGTGCTTTAAAGCCTTGCAGGTTAAACATTTCATTTTCGTGCTGTTCTGACATGCGCATTTTCTGAGCGCGTACACCTGAAGCGTGCACACACTAAAAAGCCTGTCAAACAGTGCCTGATTACTGGACTAAGTTATCTTTTGCGTCTGATTGCGCAAATACTGTCAGAAACACACATGGTTTACAATTACATATAAACACAGTTGGTTATGTCTAAATTGAAAGTAAACAGTTGAGAGAAAAACAGATGCGTGCCTGTATAATAGATGCGTGTAGGTCTTAAAATGACAGCAGACTAATACTAAACATGCTGGCGCTTGTCATTAAAGGGATAGTTCACCCAAAAATTTAAATTCTGTCATTTACTCAATCTCATGTTGTCCCAAACCTGTATTAATTTCTTTCTTGTGCTGAACGTGAAAGAAGATATTTTAGGTAACCAAACAATAGCTGGTCCCCATTAACTTTGATAGAAGGAAAAAAAATACTATGGAAGTCACTGGGGACCAGCATCCAGCAATGTGGTTACCCACATTCTTCAAAATAACTTTTATGTTCAACAGAAGAAAGAAACTCTTTGAGGTTTAAAACAACTTGAGAGTGAGTAAATGATGACCGAGTTTTCATTTTTGCAGAATTTTCAGCAGTTTGGACTTGAATGAAGAGAGAGAACCTGCATTTAACCTTTTCACAGGCATTTTGTGTTATAGTTAGACAGGTATTGTGATGTATCATTATAGGATTGTCTAGCAATATAT